GCGGAAATTGTCTGCAAATTTTTGTGAGTTGCAAAACTTTGTGAACACCTCTATCGGACCATGCTAGCACAGATCTTTATTTGAATTGTTCGTCAGATATGATGTTACAAAATCGCCTTCTCATGAATTGTCTTTCAAATTCGAAGGTCGTGTAATTTGGCAGATATTCTATCCTACAATGTGCCACCAGCAGCAAAACAATATAAGAAATGTTGTTAGCACGTCGAGTAGCAATACCGCTTACAGAATGTGCAAAATTTCCTGAATATCGCAAATTCGAAAATTCCATAACAGACTGCTCTACATACAATACCGCTCATAATTCGTCAAAAAAGTCGCCGGAGTGCGGCGGAGTGCGCCGGAGTGCGGCGGAGTGTGGTGAAGTGCGCCGCACTCCGCCACACTCCGCCGCACTCCGGCGACTTTTTTGACGAATTATGAGCGGTATTGTATATGAAGTGAGTGGAAGGAAATATACATATATTAGGTGTATAATAACATCAAAAGTGGGCGGGGCTTACAGTTCACAGCTAAACAGCGATAAAATCGATATTTTGAGCTTAGAGAACTATCAAACCTCAAAAATCGATAAAAATCGACATTCTGGAGGTTGCAAAATCCGAAAATTGAGCGAAAATCGATATTTTGGAGGTTGCAAAATCCCGAAAATTGGCGAAAATCGATATTTTGGAGGGTTGCAAAATCCCGAAAATTGTCAAAAATCGATAAAAATCGACATTTTGAAGGTTGCGAAATCCCGAAAATTGGCGAAAATCGATATTTTGGAGGTTGCAAAATCCCGAAAATTGGCGGAGAAATCGATAATTTGGAGGTTGCAAAATCCCGAAAATTGTCAAAAATCGATTAAATCGACATTTGAAGGTTGCGAAATCCCGAAAATTGGCGAAAATCGATATTTTGGAGGTTGCAAAATCCGAAAATTGACAAAAATCGATATCCCAAAAATCGGCAAAATTGATAAAATCGATATTTTTGAAGGCTGCAAAACCCCAAAATCGGCACAAATCGATAAAATCGATATTCTGGAGGAGTACTCTGCGTTGATACCACTGCTT